AATGTTGGTCCAAATTCAGAAGTTATCGGGGTATAGCTAGGAGAGATTGGACTATAGTCGGGAGAAGTGGGCGAATAAGGTTTTGAGCTGGTCAAAGGAGATCTTGTCAAGGGGTACGTGGGAGAATTCGGGCTACATGTTGTTTGGGAAAGTGGGCTGTGAGAAAAGCCTATCCTGTCAGCGTAAGGCGAAAACCGACAGTCGACAGCTGGAGACAGCTTCGTATAAGGGCTCAGCAAATAATCAGGCGACTTTAAGCCATCAAGATATGCAGAACGGGCTAGGGTCGCGCCGAAATCGAGCCCAAAATCTCCTTCTCCATAACTAGGCAAGGGAATTTCGACAGCTCTTTCCAAAATACTTTCGTTCAGGAACAGCCCGCAGCTTCCCGTCCCTACCGGCGCCAGCTGTCCCAGCATAATGCTCTCGGACACTCCCCCAAGAAGATCCATCTCCCCATAAACGGCTGCTTGGAGCAGGATATCGACCGTCTCCTCAAACGAGCACCTCATCATGGGTCCCGTCTCGTTTCGGTTGAAACCGTGTCGCGTGATGGCCGTCAGGTGGCCCTGGTGCGTCATGGTATCGCACAAAATCGCCAGGTGGCGGTAGTTCACGTAGGACCCGTCGAAAGATATTACGGCCCGAAGCTCGTCTAGTAAGGCCCTGCGCACGGCCTCGATCCCCAACACCTCGATAATCTCGACCAAGTGGTTGCTCCTCGTCCTCGTGGGGTCCACGTCTTCGTGTGACATGGCGGCCAGAAGATTAACCCCCTCGGTGTCGAGCACCCACTCGCTCCCCACCACGAACCCCCCCTCGCCCTTGTCAAATCCGTTCACCTTGCAATTCCTCATGAAAACCTTACTAACACCCGGCACGCCTCGGAGGGCCATTTTCGTCAAGATGTTGCTCTCGATTTTCATCATGAACACATCGTCATCCTCGTGGGCCTCGTTACCATCATCCTCGTCGTTCGAGAGGCGCACGCGGAGGATGAGCTTCTCGGCATTGTCGTCGTTGAATATGCACGTGAGGTCGTCGCCAAACTCGAGGATGATCTTTTCCGCCACGTCAGCCATGCTCAGCTTCTTGTCGACCATCATCTCCCGGTCGAGCTCGACCCGAAGCACCCACGGGGAGACCCGGTCAGAGTCAACCTCCTCGTCCGGCATCTCGTAATACGACCTCACGAACTCGGCATCTTCTTCGATAACCGTGGTCGTGGGGTCCGGGTCGTACCACACCTCCGTGGCTCGGGTCACGCAGCTTAAAGTGGTGTACTCGAGGGCGCACTGTACATCCTTGGCCCGCTCCTTGGTTTTGGCGGCTTCGGGCCTCAGATAAACCGAGAGAGACGGGGTTCGTATATTTTTGGCGACGTTTATTATTTCCCTTAGCCTGGGGACACCGAGGGTCACGTTCTTGGCGCTCACGCCCGCGTAGTGGAACGTGTTGAGCGTCATCTGAGTGGCGGGCTCACCGATCGACTGAGCCGCGATGCACCCAATCATTTCCCCCGGGGAAACCAAAGACTGGACGAAACGGGATTCGATCTCGCCGAGGACCCACTCGAAGGCCTCGCGCGACAGCCTGTACTCTTTGAGCACCCTCTTGCTAGCCAATGCACTCCTGAGCAGTATATTGAAGAAAAGAGTCGCGTTCTTTTGGGCTTCCATGCTTAGGTAGTCGTCCCCGTTGACCACCTTCAATTTTTCTTCCAGATTATCAACGGCCTCCACGATTTCCATAGGGTGCATGTCGGAGAGTGTCCGAAAGTCAACCCTAAACTTCTTCTGCGCGTTCAGAATGAGTCTTTTGACGTTGACCGGCAGCGGCCAGGAGCTGTCGCCGTTGGCGGCAATCTCTGTCCCGAGCTGCCGCCTGTCGGCCTCAAGCCTTCTAAATTCGGCATCGAACACGCTTCGGACATCGTGAATCAGTTTCAAATCCTCGACGGCCTTGGGCAACATGTAGCTCGGGTTCCAGCTCGGATCATCAAACTCGTAACGGTACATTTCGTTAAAATCAGATGTTTTCAGTTTTAAGGAATCCAACGGCTGTGATTCGATCCAGACGGCGTCCATCCCGTCTTCCCCGTACAGAAATTGGATCACGTAACCCAACGAGTTCCTCACAGTCCCGTCGTATTTGACCACAATATCCTCCATTGCTTTGACCAGTCGCCTCTGAATGTAGCCTGTCTCGGAGGTCTTGACAGCCGTGTCTATCAGACCTTCCCGGCCACCCATCGCGTGAAAGAAGAATTCCTGAGGGGTCAAACCCCTTAAGTAAGAATTCTCCACGAAACCACGACTCTCAGGGCCAAAATCGTCTTTTGTGAAGTGCGGCAGTGTACGATCTGAGAACCCAAAAGGAATCCGTTTGCCTTCCACATTCTGTTGGCCTACGCAGGCAGCCATTTGAGATATGTTGATGAAACTTCCCTTTGATCCGGCTGTGACCATGGCTTTAAGGTTGTTGCTTTCAGACAAGCTCCTCTGTGCACTACTCCCGGCGTCATCACGGGCTTTATTCAACACCTAAGGCACCCAACAAACTCATTAATTAACCATAAAAATAATATATTAGATACAAACACTAATACTAATAATGATTAATAAATGGTACCTGGTTGACTCTGTTTTCGAAAGATTCCATCATTGTTCGACCAGGTTCGGCCTCCAGTTGCTTCTCCTGAGAAGCTCGAATAAGTTCTTTCACCTCATTTTTGGCATTCGAGATTGTTTCGTTGATCTTCTCCATAGTTGTAGCATCAGCTATGGTATCACCAATGCCGATGCTAAAGCCACTCTGTAAAAGCCAATAATTGACGAGCCACTGTACGTGCCCCAAGAATTTCCGGGCTGCATCCGGACCAACCTCCTCCCTGAATGCATTTATCATTTGTAAAAAAGAGAGACATAAAGGACGAATATTTCGAATAAACATCCAATAGCCTTCTAATATTCCCTTTTATTTAGTATATATTACCTGTAAAATAAAAATCAGTTGATTGTTCATATCCATGCAAAAACATTGATTGCTAAAGTTCCAAACAGAACATAGAGAGAGAGAGAGAGAGAGTACCAAATAACATGTATAAGACTTCCTGAGGATGTCCCTAGTGTCTTCTTGCAAAGGGTGCCAGTAAGTAACTGCCCTTTCTCTATCCTGACTTGAGTGTCCCCAGGAGTTGCATATCCCTTTTCACTTTCCTGATGCCAAGCTGAATATCTCAACAGGTTTATCTGTTTTGGTATGATCAAATCGAACACTTGTTTTCCAGTCCAAAGCGGACTCGGCTTCAAAATTGCTGGAGCCGGTACTTTGCCATCAAAATCCTCCCACCACATCAAAATGTTCATGAAAACATCCTGCACATAG